CTCTCTCTCTCTCTCTCTCATTCTCTCTGTCTCAAATAAATAAATAAAATCTTAAAAAAAAAAAAAAAAGGCATCAGAGGTGAAAGAGACTGGGTGGAGCCAGGGTTTGAACTCAGATACACAGAATACCAGAGTTTACAGTAAGTAAACATTACACTTGTCAGGAAAAAGAATGTTAGGGATAGGGACATAAAATGGAACCAAAGACTAAGGTTAGAAGATAGAATATATATGCCACCAAGGAATGCCACAGTGGCTAGAAGACGGTTGTAAAACTAAGCTCTGCTCAAAAGGGTACAGAGAAAGGAATACTACACTTCTGCATTCCACTGGCAACAAGGGGTGGAGGCCAAAGCTTAATGATCGGGGATTTTCACTTATAAATTCATGTTTAGGAGCGCCTGGGTGGTCAGCTGGTTAAGCCTCCGACTCCTGGTTATGGCTCAGGTTGTGATCTCGTGATCTTGGGGTGGTGGGATGGAGCCCTACACTGGGTTCTGCACTGAGTCCCCCTCCCTCTGCGCGGGCTCGCTCTCTCTCAAATAAATAATCTTTAAAAAAATAAAACTTCATGTTTAGTGGATAAGTACAAATTTTTTTTAAGTGAGGAACATAAAAGCTTAAATATAGAGCTATAAGATCCTAGGGATTGGTAGTCCAATTTATTTAAGAGCTGAAGTACAAATAATCTCTCTTGACAAATACAGAAAGCTTCCTCAAGATTTAAGTGTGATTGAGGGGCGCCTTATCTGGCTCAGTTGGAGGAACATCTCACTCTAGATCTCAGGCTTGTGAGTTCGAGCCCCACGTTAGGGGTAGAGACTAGTTAAATGAATAAAACTTAAAAAAAAAAAACACACACACAAAAAACAAACAAAAAGACTTAAGTGTGATTGAGTAGCAGTACAATATTCTTCTCTAGGAATATATCTTAAAATTATTAGAGAGTCAAAGGGAAAAATTGATTCAACACGAACTTTGTCCATAACTTCAAGTCTATATCTAACGTTCATAGCAAGGCTAACAGACTCAAATAATTTCAAAACTAGGTATTTCAAAATTTAATGCTGACCCTAGACCTTGAGAGAGCAATTTAAAATGTAAATTTTAAGACTCATGTAATTATAGGTTATCAAACAAGAAAACTGAATGTCGACTTGAAGCTGTAAGTAATGTTTGTTCCAGAAATAAAAAAAATACTATTAGCTTGGCAGTTCTATTTACAGAAATTCTTCTGTGGGGCACCTGGGTGGCTCAGTCGGTTAAGCGGCTGCCTTCGGCTCAGGTCATGATCCCAGGGTCCTGGGATGGAGCCCCACGTCAGGCTCCCTGCTTGGTGGAGAGTCTGCTTCTCCCTCTCCCTCTGCCTGCCTCTCTGCCTACTTGTGCTCTCTATCTCTCTGTCAAATAAATAAATAAAATCTTTAAAAAAACAAAAAACAAAAAAACAGAAATTCTTCTGTGTTAACAAAGAGTTATTTAATATATAAAGGTCTTAGATAACATTATACTTGTTAAAAACACTATTCTAACTGAATATTAGCTATTACTCCTCCATCCCTAAATTGCATAATTTTAAGAGTGCCCTATTATTTCCTTCTCCAATGCATTTCTGAGGCATTCTGATTTCCAAACACAAACTACCAAAAAAATCTTAGATTATGCCTTAAAAATACAAACAAACCCGACAACATTAAGAATAAATAACTTTGGGGGCGCCTGGGTGGCTCAGTTGGTTAAGCGACTGCCTTCGGCTCAGGTCATGATCCTGGAGTCCCGGAATCGAGTCCCGCATCGGGCTCCCTGCTCGGCGGGGAGCCTGCTTCTCCCTCTGACCCTTCCCCCTCTCATGTGCTCTGTCTCTCTCATTCTCTCTGTCTCAAATAAATAAATAAAATCTTTAAAAAAAAAAAAAAGAATAAATAACTTTGTTACTCTTTCATTTAGCACCTTTCCACATAAAAATGTGTGAAAATTTAGTCCAGATTATAGAAACCGAATGAGAAAAATTCTAGACTTTAAAGATGAAGAGTGTGAAATAATACCAGCGGTTAAGAAAACAATGGATACAGAATTCAGAAAGTGGCCCAAGATCACCCGATCAAGAACAACTGTAAGCAGTTAACCACCTGCATATTTTATTACTCTTTGGTATAGGAAAACAACCATCACCAAAACCCCCAAACACTTTACATACAATAGAAATAGAAATAACTTTCTGAAACGGGCTACCCTGCACCAAAAACAGTAATCACTGTTGTCAAACTTAAGACACACTGTCTCGTTTTTGACAATCAACATACGCTTCCAAGAGTCAGTGCGAAGACTAGTCACCGTTTATTTAAACCAAAGTCAAGGGGCGCCTGGGTGGCTCAGTCATTAAGCATCTGCCTTCGGCTCAGGTCATGATCCTGGGGTTCTGGGATCGAGCCCAGAACGCTCCCTGCTCGGCGGGAAGCCTGCTTCTCCCTCTCCCATTCCCCCTGCTTGTGCTCCCTCTCTCGCTGTCTCTCTGTCAAATGGGTAAAATCTTTAAATAAATAAATAAATAAATAAAATAAAATAAATAAACCAAAGTCAAGCTCTATTTAAAAACCAGTCTGCCATTACACCCACCTCTCTAAAAACAAACGCTTGACACATTCCAAGTTAGTGATCTTTGAAGGGCCCGATTCACTTGAGAAAAACCCTACATCTATTAACAAGTTCATTAACACTAACATCATCCAGGTTAACTTTCGGTGCATTTTCATATAAGAGATTGCATTATGTTAATTTGCCGGCATTCTAAAGCGCCGAGATCGCCAGTCCTCACGTGAAACGTTAGGGTCAGTAATTCCCAGAAGACCGTCGGTGACCCCAATAAAATCTAGGGCGTGGATTCCCGTGCCACGTTTCCCCTCCCATCTACACGGGCCCCTTACGCCAGTGAAGTGAGCTTCCGGAAGGAGCCGCAGGGTGGGTCCCCAGGGGAGGCAGAGGAGCCCGGGGAGGCCAGCTCAGGCCCGGTCCTGGAATGGCCCTTCCCGCCGCCCAGGTGGGCGTCCCAGCAAGGAGACACAGCCCCGCGGGGCCCCGGACCGGCTACGCCGAGCACAGAGCGAACAGGCCGGGGAAGGACGGCCGCGGACGCCCCCACCCGGCCCAGCGCTCTCGCATTTCTCCTCTTTTCTCTTACCTTTTCGCACAGCGTCCGCACTTGGTTCTCGTTAAGCTGTTTACACTCGTTCAGCTGCTCGACCCACTGGTCCAGCTCCTTGGTGAACGCCTTGTCGTCCA